AGCGCTTGCATCAATCATTTCCTGGGCACACTCCACAAAACCCTTGTCTCTAGGTAGTCCGTCCCTCTTTCCCGTATCTCTACCCAGCTGCACTTTAAGGATGGTTGCCAAGAACGCCATTCTTGCTCCCGTTTCCACCGCATCCCCTACTTCCATCGTCTTCTCCGTTACATTGTTGAATCGTGCCAACAGGTTTGCCGCATATTGTCCGTTGAACTGATACGGCTGTTTCTTCTCTCGAAACATCTGTAAGATGTCTTCTTCTGGAGCCCACCGGCCCCCTCCAAATACCTTCTTCAGCCTATCCTTCACGGTGCTCCATGGGGTGTCTTCATCCGCCTGGATCATATTCAGCACACTCCTTTGAACCCGGCATACCAAGGCTGCCCTCAATGCGTTGGCATCCAGCGGATCTATCAAGTTTTCCCCTTCTTTGGCCGCTATACGCGATATCACCCGATCGCCTCCCTTTAGAAAGTGATTCAACTCACCTGTTCCTCCATCAAATCTTTCCAGATCAGATATAGCTCTCCTCAGGTCCTGCGATGTCGCCGTTCTAACCTTCAGCCATTCCAGCGTCGTCGCATGTGCTGACGCTAACGTCTCCGTAGGTAGCGGAGGAAAGTCCCTCGCTAACGCTTCTGCCAACGTAGGAAACGCTGGCGGTGGAGCCAACGGTGCCGCAGTCGGTTGTGCTGTAGACGGTACTGGTGGTGGTGGACGTACTGGCGGTTGACCTACTCCGTTCGGCATCCTGTCTTTTATTTATCTCCACGACGTGAATAAAATAAAAAAAAATAAAAAACAACTACAAAATTAAACTTTAAACTTCCCGGGTTTCGGCACCACTTACGTCGGTTCGAACTAAGAAAGATAAAAAAAAGAAAGAAGGCTCGAAATAAAACACGTGGTTGCTCAAACTAGACTGACTTTATTCTCTCCGTAATGCTATATATATAGCATTACGGTTTGTTTACAACTATTGACTAGGATTAACTAATATATTAACTTACATCTAACCATAACTTATATATATATATATATATATATATATATATATATATATATATATATATATATATATATATATATATATATATATATATATATATATATATATAGTTTCCTTTTGCACATAAATTATATTTAGTTTTTCTTGTACTTTTAATGATTGTAACCTAGTTTTTTCATTTATATCTTATGTAGGTTTTTATGAGATTTTTCCTACTGTAAAAAATTAATTTCAATTTTCTAACTAGTATTCAAACCACCATTATGTCATGTGTAAGGTTAATGCAACCATAAACAGGTAGCTTATCAGTATGACATGTTGTAATGTATATAATAAAAAATAAATAAATAAATAAAAAAAAAAAAAAAAAGCTCAAAACCCATTTACCTCAACCCTTGTATCTAGTCCTCAAATCCTACCTTTCAAATCGCTCCTTTCAAGTCCGCTGCGGCACTGAACTCTCCAAACATTATCCAATTGAGGCTGGTATTCCACAAGACAGTGTCTTGGGTCCAGTTCTCTACATCCTTTTCACCGCTGACATCCCTTCAAGTCCTGATACCTTCCTAGCAACATTTGCTGATGATACTGCCATCCTATCCTCCCACTCGGATCCTCTAATAGCGTTCCGGAACCTGCAAAGACACCTCTCCTTCATTGAGCAGTGGTGCAACAACCGGCGCATCAAAATTAATGAATCAAAATGCAAACATGTAACTTTCACTCTTCGCCGCAGATCCTATCCGCCAATCCTTTTTAATTCAATTCCTCTTCCCTACTCAGACACAGTCCGATACCTTGGCTTCCTTCTGGACAAAAGACTGCCTTGGAACCCACATACGAAACTTAAAAGACAAGAGCTTAACCGACGATTTGGTCAGCTATATAGACTACTAAACTGAACATCTCATCTCTCAACAGAAAACAAATTATTAATCTACAAGACCATATTGAAACCTATCCGGACCTACGGGAGCTGTGGGGGACAACTAAATCATCGAATATCAAACGCATCCAATCCTTCCAGTCTAAAGTAATTCGAACAATAGTCAATGCTCCATATTATGTCACGAACAAGACCCTACACCATGACCTTAACATCCCATATGTCCATAACATCATCCCATCCAGATTCTCCAACTTTCACCAGAACCTCATTCATCATCCCAATCCTCTAGCGCAATCCCTATCCAGCTCCGAGCATCCATACCATCCCCCTAGAAGGTTGAAACGGCAGTGGCCTCGAGATCTTTTGTAAATATGCCTTTACAATGAGTTCTGGCAATGGCCAGCTTCTCCACTCATGTCCTGAGTGTCTGTGGCTCTAGTGCCCTCTTTCAGTCTCCACTAATACTAGTGATGCGGCTGGAAAAGTGGCACTGGGATCTTCCGGAGTCTTGCTTTGCCTTCCACGTGTGGGGGGAAAAAGCCTGGTTCGGAGATTATTTTATTTGTTTATTATTATTATTTTTTCTTTTCATTTACCTTCTTCATCAGTATTATTTATTTACTTCTTATATTTATATTTCTTTCTTTATTATTTGTATATATTGTATGAATGAGAACTTTTAGACCTAATGCTTATAGCCCTCCAGCAGTGGCTGATTGTATTATTATGCAATAAATAGATTTAAAAAAAAGATCATCCGCATAGCCAAGCCAGAGTTTTGTCCCACCCAGATCCAACCCTTTTTCGGTACGTATAACCTCCCTGATGGCATGTTCTGATGCCAAATTGAACAGGTCAGGCGAAAGGGAATCACCCTGTTTTTAACCCGCACGAACCTCAAACTTTTCGGATAAATTATTTCCGATTATAATTGTATTGAGTGTTTCCGTCAAGCACATCCTGACTAGATTTACCAATTTTTTTGGAATCCCCTGCTCAATTAGAATATTATACAGTTTCTGGGTTTCTGGCTGTCAATAGAGCCGTAAGCCTTTTAGAAATCGATATACAGCTGGTGAACAATACCGTTGTATTTTTTTCTCCAATATTTGCGGTAAAAAAAATATTTGATCAATAGTCGAACGATTCCGTCTGAATCAGCATTGATAGTCACCGATAATTTCCTCTGCGTATTCTGTGATTCGACTTGTTAAGATTAAAGTTAATTTTTTATAACATGCCGGAAGGAGTGAAATTCCCCGATAGTTATTTCGATTTTATCGTAAAATTCGCATTTTACTTCATCGTCACTGTCTTCGGTCGGACAATGTATGTTTATGAACACGATTTTAAACCAACGTCCCTGAAATATCGCTACCGAAATTCTATAACTAAAGAATTGTAAGTCCCTCAAAGCTGATAGAAATCTATTCCTAATTAGAAACCCGGTACCTAAACAATGATTTTCGCTTCCTCCTTACCAAATAGTGTACTTTTCTTCCCTCATCGAGCCCACCCCTGGCCAGCGAATCTCTTGCAAAGCCACAACATCCAAATGGTACCCATTAACCTCATTCGCGACCGATTTTAAACCTCCTGCTGTGTTTAAACTCCTTACGTTCCACGTACCAATATTCAAATTCCTATTTTTCAACTTTCCCCATGAATCTCTTAACGCAGTCCCCACCCGGACACCCGAACGGGTGACTAGTTTACCTCCGGATATTGAGCGTTTTACTTTAAGGAGATCCATGACTGTTTGTGGTGTATGGTGAACTAAACATATATGAGCGTCTGGAGGTCCCCTCCCTCCAGCAAGTCTGCAGGGCCCCTCTCATTGTTCGGCAGCGAATCCATCGGACTTGGCCGGGAGGAACTTCCAAGGAATTTCCACCGACCATCCCTACATGAGCCCGCGCGAGGTATGAAGATTTGTTAGTGTAGATATATTGCATTAGGTCCATAGATCATATCATATACACTAAAATAGTAAAAATATAATGTTTTTATGTAACAGTCATTCAAATTTCAATAAAAAAATAGTAAATAATCAGATGCAAAGGTCAATAACATCCCCAAGTAGATAGGAGACACCCAATTATTAGTCCCATAAATGTGATGCTCTATATATTATTATTATTATTATTATATATAGTACAAAAACTTTAAATTATGACAAAGGATAGCACGAGGTTTTAGGTAAACATAGCAATTGTGTAACAACATTAAATTGACAAGTTTTTGACATAAATTAATTTTAATTATGTCTTTTCTACCCAGTTTTTGCTATGAAATATAGGAATAAAGTTTTGAAAATGAGAATAATTTCCCGAAATGTCAATTTAGATCGATTATAACAAATTATTATTATTATTATTTTTGGAAGTTTTTATTGCCAACAATAAAGAAAATTAAATAGCTTCCTAACAAAAAAGAAGGAAACAAGTACTAAATTTTGATTTTCTTCCATCCTCATTAATTTTTTTGTCTTTGAAATGAAATGAAAAATAATTTTATTCTAGCACTACAGTCCCCTAAGAATAATGGCAGAGTTTGATAATTATGATCATTAGTCTGGCTAGTTGTTGAGCAGTTTAAATTAATTTATTCATTTTAGATTATTTATTTATTAAGCTTTGGTAATAAATCACTTTATAATAAATACGAATAATTTAGTATGTTTTAACTAATAGATTCAAAATTAATTTTTTTCCCTTTTATATTATGTTTTATGTTGAAGCAGTTTAATTACTTTCAGAATCTATAATGACTTTATCATAATATAGTTATTGGTTTTCAGTTTCTTTATCACACATACCTAAACCTTCAATTGTATCGTGAGACAAATAAATTTCTATTTGAATGAAATACATAATGGTTTTATATGTTATCTCATTAGTGAAGTATGTGGTCAGTAATATTTCGTAAATTTTCAACTCCTATTTTTATTTTACTATCTCATCAGTAATTATCAGCCAGCTATATCTTTAGAGAGAATTATCACGAAATATTCTATTTTATTTTTTAATTAGAACTTTTTTTGAAATATACAATGCTTTTATGTGTGGTATTTTAATTATATGTTATATTTATTTTCAGAAACAAGCAATGTTAGTACGGCAGCTTGAAGAGGAGTTGAGGCTACGAATGCGTGGACCTAGCATTGAAATGCAGCAGCAAATGGAAGTTCTCTACGCAGAAAACGAACATCTGACACGAGAAGTGGCCATTTTAAGAGAAACTATCAAGGTATAAAAAACATGAAACTATAACTAACTTTTTTATAAATAATTTTTATTTAAAATCATTTTTCTGTAACAATAAAGGTCTAATATTCAGTAACCAAAAAATTATCCTGTTACCTGCTCAACTGAAACGTTCGTTGCTCTTATATTATCTCTTTAAGGCTATGTTGAGGCATGGATATAATTTATTTAGCAATAAGATATCATTAGGTATCGAGTGACATTTTTCCGAAAATTATGTTTCTTTTTACCTTTCTGCACCTTCATCAAATCTACATTTCACTTTTGGTAATACTCGGTATATTTCAGGTACAGGTAGATAAAAATAAATCATATTTTATTAGAAGTTAAGTAACAGATTAGGACCCCCTTTTCATTCCAACAAAACTTAAGCAATACAAGTTTTTATATCAACAATAAATAAAAACTTTTATTTGGTTATAATCTACATTTTTGTAACGTTTCTATCTTTTTAACCATTTTCGAACTTTTGTATTTTATTTTTCTTAAGAACAAAAAAAAATATTGACTAATAATTTTTAAAATTAACCAAAAAAAAAATTATAGGAAGATGCTAATTATATTTATAAAGGTGTCCTAATGTGTTTTTTTTTTTAATTTTGTTTTACTTGTTTATTGAAAAATAATTCAATCTATCTCAAATGACATTTATAATAGTGTTCAGAGATCACATTCACACTCTATGTACAATAAATAAAATACATTATACAGAAAAATAATATAAATACAATAAATAAGAATAAAATAACCTAATAATAAATAAATAAAAAATAACACATACATACCTATATAAATTGAATATTTAACAGTTGATCATTGCATTATAAAGGAAGGAGATGGTCTGGGGTGGCTTTCATAAATAGGTTAAATAGTGGTAAAACTATTTTTATTAAAAGCCAACGTTTCAACCCTACTTTACAGGTTTTCTTCAGGGCTAGAGCGGACAAGATAAAAAAAGATAGAGAACTGTGGAAGTTAAATAATAGTTAGACAAAAAATTATAAACAATGTGAATCTTATAAAAATTATAAATAGTAAGTAAATTAAAATATGAACAGAGTAAGCTAAGTAACAAGATCCTAAACTGAAGTAAATAGATGCTAACAATTGTTGTAGTGTAATATATAATAAATGCAATCTGTCACACATCTACAGATCTACAAGAGAGATTGAAAGAAAAGGGAAAATGGATATAATATGAATTGTGGAAGTAACATAATATTTAGACAAAAAGTTATAAACAATAATAATTCTTTCCTCATTTAACTCTTACCAACCCCGTCTTCGTTTCACTATGGAGAAAGAAGTTAAAAATTCACTCCCCTTCTTAGATCTCCTAATAATAAACAACACTGACGGCTATGTTTCTACTGACTGGTACACTAAACCCACATACTCAGGCAGACTACTCAACTTTTATTCTTAACACCCATATCACCAAAAAATCAATACCGTCAAAAACCTTATTCACCGATCCCTCTCTTTATCTGACCCATAATACCACTAAGCCAACACTCAGCGTGTCAAAAACATACTCCTTTCCAATAATTTTCCTCTCAACACCATACTTAAACTTTTAAACTGCTATATAACTTCCGCAATCACCCGTGATAAAATCCTGCCTTATCTTGAAACCCTAAACTGGAACGATATTTAATCCTGCCAAACGATATTGATCATATGGTTGACATCCTAACTTCTAATCTTATCCATATTCTTGACATACATGCTCCTATCAAAACTTCAACCTTTCGTCGCCAACCTGCTCCTTGGAAGTGTCAAGAAATCCGTGACATAGAAAAGAGACGTGAGGCGGCCCGTAGAGGCTTCAGACGAACTCGACTAGCAGATGACTATCTAGTCTATAGGGTACTCCGTAACTTGACACAAACAACGATCAGGAAAGCTAAATCAAACTTCTTTCACGAAACCTTCTCCTCTGCTCCTGATTCTAAATCAATATGGCTAACCCTTCGTAAACTTTCTCTTTGTAAATCCTCTTCCTCACCGATCTACCCGGTTTCACCTGATGACCTAAATTCCTACTCTATATTTTCCACCACCAGCAACAGCTCACCCACCTCTTATCAGTTTTCCTTATCACCCTCATTTAATAGTTATAATTTCTATTTCTCCAACATTTTACCAAACAACCTTATTTCCTTTATAATGAAATCCCACACAAACTCCATCGGACTTGATGGATACCAGTCAAACTGTTAAAATTATGCCTTCCCGAAGTCGTTCCACTTTTCCTTTTCATCTATAATTTTTCCCTCCATAACTCAGTTTTTCCTACTGCTTGGAAAAAAAAGCATTAGTCAGACCTATTAAGAAAATCCCCAATCTTACCTCCCCTAAAGACTACCGCCCAATCTTCATTCTTTCTAACCTTTTTAAACCTCTCGAAAGAATAGCTCAATCCTTCTTCTTCTTTGTCTTCCTCACAATGCCGTTTCTAGCGTCGAGGAACCTCTATCCAACGCAGCCACTCTTACCGGTCTCTGCTTAACCGCTTCATTTGGTTGAAGGATTTGCCTCTTCTACCTCCGATCCTCTCCATGAACTCCAGATATGAGACTCTGGGACGCCCTCGTAGCCTCTTACCTGTGGATCGAGCCTCTAATATCTTTATAGGGTCCATGTCCTCGTTCATGCGGCAGACATGTCCAAACCACCTTAATTGCCTGTTCTCCAAGGTAGTTTTGAGTTCAGGCACTTCCAGCTGTTCTCTGATAGTATCATTTCTAACGCGATCCCTCCTAGTTTTGCTCACCGATCTACGTAGGAATCGCATTTCCGCTGCTGTTATGTGACTATAATGTTTGTCCAACATAGTCCAACTTTCTCCGCCGTAGGTGAGAATAGGAAGGTATACAGACTTATAGATATGCATCTTGGTATTTTTATCCACTTCACGGCAGCTGAGGATACTGCTAGCGATCTGGTGATATAATTGATTCGCCTTAGATATTCTATACCAAATCTCAGCATCTATCTTACCAGCGTTAGTAATTATAGTACCTAAGTATGTGTACTCCTTTACTACCTCAAGAATCTCTCCGTTGCAAACCAATTGGACGTCTTCCTCTTCTTCTTTAGCCATAATCATCACTTTACTTTTGGAGGCATTTATTTGCATACCTTTCCTCTTCGTCTTGGAATCGGCGATGAGCACAATGTCATCCGCATACAAAAAGCTCTGCACTAGGACAGTTCTCATATTCCAGTTTCCAATTGTAGTCCATGCAGTCCGACGCTTGCAGATTTTATGGATCTCGTCCATAAAGTTTATAAACAGGAGGGGGCTTAAACTATCTCCCTGTCTGACTCCTCTCGCGATTGGGAAAGGTTCTGACTCGGTGCCATTTATCCTTACCACTCTAGTGGTAGGTTGATTTCACGGCCTCAATCAAATCTCCAGGCACGCCCTTGGCAACCAAAGCGTTCCAAATTTCTTTCCTAGGAACTGAGTCAAACGCTGCCCTTAGATCAAGAAATGCCAGGTATAGGTTTTGGTTTCTCTCTCAGGCATTTTCAGCGATGGTTCTAAGAACAAAGATATGGTCCTGAGTCTGCCGGGCAGGACGGAAACCAGCCTGTTCACCTTCCAGCTGTCCCTCCACAATCCGCCGGAGCCTTCTTTCTAATATAGAGGTATATAATTTATAGACCACAGAGAGCAGACTGATGGGTCTATAGTTATTGCAGTCCGTTGAACTGCCTTTTTTATGAATTGGAAGGATTATGCTATATTCCTAATACTTGGCTCAATAGCTCAATAACTCAATCCCAAATCTCTAAATTCCTTGAAAACTCAAAACTAGTTGGTCCTCTCCAATCTGGTTTTCGACCTGGCTTCTCCGCACAATCCAGCCTACTAAAAATTACTTACATACCTCAATGGACGAAAAAATGTTAACTGTGTTAATACTCCTCGACTTTTCCAAAGCTTTTGACCCCTTAGACCACTCTATATTCTACACTAAATTAAAATCTCTATCCTTCTCCAACAGCTCTATCCTCTGGTTGCAGTCTTTCCTATCCGACAGAACTCAAGCAGTCAGCATTCCAAACCAAACCCTATCTTCATTCCTTACACTTTCCTCTGGAGTGGCCCAGGGTTCGTTTCAATTCCTACATAAATGATCTTTCCAAATCCACCTACCACTGTTCACATCATTTATACGCTGAATACTTCCAAATCTAATTTTCCTTTCATCCTTTTGAGCTACTAATCGCGTTCACCAATATTCAGGCAGACCTAGATAGGATCAGTGCCTGGGCAAGTCCGAATAATTTAAATCCAAACGCGATGAAAACTCAGGCCATTATTATAGGTTCCAGTTCTATTCTTAAAGCCATTTCCTTCCTTCCTCCTTTAGTCATCAACGATCATCCTATCACATTCATCCTATCCGTTAAAAACCTAGGAATCACCATAGACGAAAACTTCTCCTGGAAACCCCATATCGCCCTCATCTCCCGTAAGTCAATAGGTGCTATTAAGCTATTTCATCGCTCCGGCCACCTATTCCCACAACCCATACGCAAGCTCCTTGTATCCTCTCTTATTGTCCCCCCCCCTTTGACTACGACGGTGTACGGAGGCATCCCGATGATACTCGAGGCTAGATTGAAACTATTCATGAATACCTGCTTAAGATTTGTCTTCAGTACATCGAGGCGGTCTCATATGTCCCACCTTTACGACGAGTTAAAGTTGCTCTTCCCTTGTTTCCGCAGACAATATTTCCTTGGATCTTTCCTATTCCAAACGATCAACACCCGACAACCTTCCTATATCTACAGTCTCCTACAGTTTAAACCCGTGATCCACCCCCAGAAAACAATACCCAGTGTTTCCGATCTTTATATCCCTTCCCATAGAACTAAGACGTTTGAATATTCCTTTATTGGTCCACGATCCACTGCCTTCTGGAATTCCTTGTCATCTGATATCCGCCATGCCTCTTCCTTGTCCTCATT